ATGGACACTTTGGTTGCTTCCATATCTTGGCTATTGTAAATAGTGCAGCGATAAACATAGGGGTGCATCTGTCTTTTCCAAACTGGAGTGCTGCATTCTTAGGGTAAATTCCTAGAAGTGGAATTCCTGGGTCAAATGGTATTTCTATTTTGAGTTTTTTGAGGAACCTCCATACTGCTTTCCACAAAGGTTGAACTAATTTGCATTCCCACCAGCAGTGTAGGAGGGTTCCCCTTTCTCCACAACCTCACCAACATTTGCTGTTGTTTGTCTTTTCGATGATGGTGATCCTTACTGGTGTGAGGTGATATCTCATTGTGGTTTTAATTTGCATCTCTAATGACAAGCGATGTGGAGCACCTTTTCATGTGTCTGTTGGCCATCTGAATTTCTTCTTTAGAGAACTGTCTGTTCAGCTCCTCTGCCCATTTTTTAATTGGATTATTTGTTTTTTGTTTGTTGAGGTGTGTGAGTTCTTTATATATTGTGGATGTCAACCCTTGATTGGATATGTCATTTATGAATATATTCTTCCATACTATAGGATGCCTTTTGTTCTATTGATGGTGTCCTTTGCTGTACAGAGGCTTTTCAGCTTGATAAAGGCCCACTTGTTCATCCTCATCACTACTTTAAAGGGCTAGTGACAGACACCAAAAAAATCCACAGGAAACAAAAACCCCACATACACACAGGAAACACGCTCTCATAAATATTCTTCAATGAGTGAATGAAACACACAAATGAGAATGTTTTCCGATGGCGGTGGAACAGAAAGGCAACAGAACTACCTCCCGCCCCACCGTCATCCCCGTCTGCCTATAGAGTGAGAGACGTGTGGTGAAGTTGGAGATGGGCTCAGGTTCTGCCAGCAGCCCAGAGTTGGCATCTGGGTGGCCCAGGTTGCCATGGCACCGCATCGGACTCCACCCTCTACCCCTGTACCGCCGTAGCCCGGCCGCCAGTGTACTACACATAGTCACGTGCCCTGCCGCGTAACCACACCTCTGCTCCACCGAGCAATTCAGAGGTCACGTGTGATAGCAACAGATCACGTGGTTGCCCCGCCCCTCCCTTCTCCGCCCCCTTCCCTGTGAAAGTCGCTCCTGCCTGCTCCTCTGCGCATGAGCATCCGGTCACGTACCGCAAACGTCCGGCGTTCGCTCCGCCCCCCCAGTTTCCGCGCGCCTCTTTGGCAGCTTGGTCACATGGTGAGGGTGGGGGTAAGGGGGCCGCTCTAGCCTGCGGCCTGTGTCTGTGGTCGGGCCCGTAGCGTCCAGCTGCCTTGGCTGAGCTCGAGTGTATGGCGCTGCAGGAGCCGGCTCCGGGGCCCCGATAACGGGCCGCCCCCGCGGCTCCCGGCACGGGGTGAAGTAAGTGTAGCCTCTTCCTGGGAATGGGGAGCATTCTCTCCCTGCACGGCTTCCTAAGCGGTCTGGTTATGGAAGGGTCGCTCGAGGGCGGGATGTGGGGCAGGGTGTAATGTTCTTTGTGGTCGTAGGGAGACGTAATTTGAGGGACTGGGTTTAGGGTCTTCGGTGCAGGGGGTGTGTCGCGTGGCACCTCTCTTATGAGGGGCGCGATTTTACCAAAGGAAAATGCATTTTCTTATTCTACGGCCTTACATGATTGGAAGGGTGGGGGTCAGAGGCATCAGGTCACTCAGGAGCCGGCGCCGTGGGAGATCGGGGAGGGGACGGGATGCTGGTGGTGGTGCCTTTGTGATGTCTTTTGTGGGAGTCAGTGTGTGGCTGTAGGCTCATACCATACCACCTCTGGAAGGGAATTTCGGTGGTAGGAGTCTCTGTGATTGTAGGGTCTCCTGTGCTGTGAGAATGGCTACCCCTCGGTATGAGCCAGTGGCTGAAATTGGTGTTGGTGCCTATGGGACGGTGTACAAGGCCCGTGATCCCCACAGTGGCCACTTCGTGGCCCTCAAGAGCGTGAGAGTCCCCAATGGAGGAGGTGCTGGAGGAGGCCTTCCAATCAGCACAGTTCGTGAGGTGGCCTTACTGAGGCGGCTGGAGGCTTTTGAGCATCCCAATGTTGTTCGGTAAGAAGTAGGTGGAGGGTTGCAAGTTGGTAGTACAGGGGAAAAGACGACCTATAGGTGGGGAGTGGTGAGCTGGAGATTAGTGGAACCCTGAGGAAATAAGGGGAGGCAATGTTGGACAAAAGGGGATTGATCAGTAACTATTTGTTCTGGCCAGATTGATGGACGTCTGTGCCACAGCCCGAACTGACCGGGAAACCAAAGTGACCCTGGTGTTTGAGCATGTGGACCAAGACCTAAGGACATATCTGGACAAAGCACCCCCACCAGGCTTGCCAGTGGAGACCATCAAGGTGAGTGGGATGGGCAGACACTTGAGACCTTTGTGGTAGAACCTTGTGATTTCAGGTATGGTGCCTCATTTCCAGTTCCTCTGTACCTCTCCCTTCCAAATCAGGATGTGATGCGCCAGTTTTTAAGAGGCCTGGATTTCCTTCATGCCAACTGCATTGTTCACCGAGATCTGAAGCCAGAGAACATTCTGGTGACAAGTGGTGGGACAGTCAAGTTGGCTGACTTTGGCCTGGCCAGAATCTACAGCTACCAGATGGCACTTACACCTGTGGTCAGTAGAAAGATGGTAGCCAAAATGGGTTCTTGCTGGCAGTGAGGGAGTGTTGCCCATAGCAGTTGAGAAGCCATGTTTCATTATTTCATTCACGCATTCGTGTTTCATGGTAACCTCTAGAGCCCTTACCCACTCTTCTTATTCCTATTAGGTTGTTACACTATGGTACCGTGCTCCAGAAGTTCTTCTACAGTCTACATATGCAACACCTGTGGACATGTGGAGTGTTGGCTGTATCTTTGCAGAGATGTTTCGTCGAAAGTATGGGACTCTAGTATCCTGAACTATCTTGCATTTCCATCTGTCTCATTCATAAACCACATTCATACCCTGCCCATGCTTTCACTTGAGTACTTCTGATCACCTGTACATAGAGGTTGTTCTGGAATTGGGAACTTCACATCCCTTTATGCTCCATTCCCTTTATTTTGAGCCACCAACAGTAATCATTCCACTGCCATATTTTTTTAAATGACTGCTACCTTTTATTTCTTCTCACCTTAGGCCTCTCTTCTGTGGAAACTCTGAAGCTGACCAGTTAGGCAAAATCTTTGAGTAAGTGACCAGCAAGGGGGAAAAGAATTTTCCATTCTGAGTCCTCTTTCTGCTGAGCTCTAGATGGCATCTGGCTGTCCCTGGAGGTAGGGCCTGAGGAAGGACCAGCCTGACCGGAGTTCTGCTGTTCCCTACAGCCTGATCGGGCTGCCCCCAGACGATGACTGGCCCCGAGATGTGTCTCTACCCCGAGGAGCCTTTTCCCCCAGAGGGCCCCGCCCAGTGCAGTCTGCGGTTCCTGAGATGGAAGAGTCTGGAGCACAGCTGCTGCTGGTACTGGTCTTGGGCATGGGGTGAAATAGGGTTGCAAGATGGAGCAGCATAAAAGGTCCCCAAACCATCGTAGTTATTAAAACTTGGTTGGGAGATGGGCTAGTTTTTATTGGTGTTGTGAATAGCCATCCACAAAGAGGGATGTAGAAAACAGCCCATTGTAGGATTGTTGGGGGTGAGCACAAGTCGTCTTTGCATTTTTTTTCTTTAGTTTTCTGACCTTTGCCTCCCCTCTCAGGAGATGCTGACTTTTAACCCACACAAGCGGATCTCTGCCTTCCGAGCCCTGCAGCACTCTTATCTACAAAAGGCAGAAGGTAACCCAGAGTGAGCTGGAATGGCTGCATCAGAACTGAGAGAAGAGAAGCTGTCATTTTCCTTTCTTTGAACACTTGAGCAGAGAGCCTCACACTGAGGAGAGCTCTGCCTTCATCTCTGAGGCTGTGGAGACTCCTCCAACTTTTTAGAGAGAATATTTTGCTGCCTTAATGACATTCCCCTCCCATCCCTCCTTTGAGGCTTATCCTTTTCCTGACCCCTATTTCCTTATATCAAGGGGTATGTATGTCCCTTGTTCTCTCCTTCCCTATGTTGATATTGGGATCCTTTTTTTATACAGGAAAAACAAAACAAATACGGTCTTTCTTTTTTTTTAAGTTTCTTTCTCTGATTAGCTTTCTTATTTGGGGATTTGGAAAAAACTATTTGGAAGGTGGCGCTTCACTGCAGTATCTTAGATTCCCCTTAGGTCATAGTGGAGCCCCTCCACTGAGAAAAAAAGGCACTTCAGTTGCTTCTTTGAATATGGAGTTTAAATGGCTTTTATTTTTTATATTCACTGAACTTCCCCAAACTGGGTACTGCCTATTAGAAGAATGAGTTCTTGATGGTTCTCTCCCAGAGCCAGTCCAGGTTATGTGGAATGATCCAGCATATGGAGGGGAAAAGAAGGGAAACAGCCACGAATGACTCTTACCCCATCCCATTTCATGCATTCCCAAGAGCTGTGCAGATCCACTTAAGGAGAGAGGGAGGAGGATCTTCTTTATTCCTTATAGCCTTGCTCCCACCAGAACATGTCAAGCCATGACTGGCTTAGTCAGTCATCTTTAGGGGATGTGGCAAAGGGCCTTTCCTTTTTCTCAAACAAAAAGGCTGCAGACCCTAGGTTTTCCCTAATGGAGGAAGAAAAAACTTAGAGCAGGAGAGAAGTCAGAAGGAGCCAAAGTCTTACAGAAAGGCACTGGGGTTGGCTCGAGGATCCTTCTGATTGCGAAATCTCATAGCTAGCCAAACACCAAGGATCTGTCAAAGCAACGGGAAAGAGATAAGTACCAATTCTGAATTCTGGGGCTAAGACTTAAGAGAAAGGGTGTTAGGAGGGAACTGGAGAATGTTACCTCTGTAAAACTAAAGAAGATTCCGACGCCCCCCAAGATTTTCAGGGCTTCATCTGAATGCTTAAGGAACTTTTCTCCACACATCTGGCATGTGGGGCTCCGGCTCTTGCATATCTAAGGATAAAACGCATCTGAGTGGAAGATGCAGAGCTGCTAAGCTGTCCTATCCCCATATCTATGGTGAATGGACCTAGAAATTATTTACTAGCTTCTGATCAGTTGCTTACCAACTAAAATCTCATCTGGCTAATTAGCTGCTATCCATCCTCTGTTCCCCTACCATCACACAGCCCCAGTACAAGAGTGTTGCCAGAGACAGCCATCACATTCAAACTCAAATCTGCCAATTTGGGCATTGTCCTTACCCAGTTTTCCTACTGCACCCACCAAGCCCCTGTGCCAACTCACTGCAGTGCAAAAAGCATAATCTTGTTGATACAGGGTTGTGAGGTTGAACAAGCCACAACAATCAAAACTTCTTTCCAGTTCATCCCGGGTCTTATTACTCATGACCCACCAGGAAGCATTGATGACATCTGTCTGGAGAACACAGAGGGAAATTACTTGGTGCTGCTAACAATCCCCCTACATCCTGATCTGCTTAAGTGTCTTAATTTCCCTGTTTGAGCAAAGGGAGTCATCTCTTTAGAAGCAAAGGTGTAGCACAATTACATAGATGGAATGATAAATATCCACCTCAGGTTCTCCTAGATCATCTTCATGGAAAATTACCCAGACATCCGAGAGGAGGTAAATGGTTCAAGAGTCTGGAAGTAGTGGATCTAAGAATGATCTTTGGGACCAGACTGAGAGGAGAGAGAAGTTAAAGAGAGACCAACAAAAAAGTACTCGGAAGAGCATCACCTTACCTGTTTGCTCCGGTTAATAGCCAGACATGAGCAAGATATTCCAAACTGGAAGATGAAGACCAAGCCAAGGATGATCATGTACTGAGGAAGAGTTAAGGAAATAAATCCTGGGTTCTTTTATGTTTCACCTAGAGTAATTGTCTGACCTCGTCTATTTATAGACCGTCTACAACTGTGTCATTTGAAAATCAAGCCATTAGCTCTTGTTTCACAAAGAAGGCAGGGCAAAGAGACAGGTCCCCAATATCCCTGAGGTCTACCCTTAAAACTTCTAACCAGCCAACTCAGTCCTCCCAAGAGCCCCAGTGCCCCCATCACTTCAAATCAGGATACAAAGAATAACAGTACTTGGTGGTGGTTCACAGCACCCACCAGTCCAGCCACTGCGATAAGAAGAAGGAAGACTCCCACAGCAATGACTCCTCCGATGATGTGGATGCTGGACACCAGACCAAGGCCCTTACCCCAAGCAGCCACTCCAATGAGCAATAAGCCTACCAGCTACGGGAAACAAAGAGCGGGATACATTTAAATAATTCTGGCGTGCAGAACAGCCAAAGACGTGTGTGAATGAGAGGCAGGAGGTGCTGTCCAGACCAGAAGCGTCCTTGGGCGCTCCTCTCAACTGGAGGTCAGTATGGCTAGGACGGCGGTGGGGGATGGCATAGACAGTAGAGTCTATGAAGAGGGAAAAAAGACCTTAGCTTCATCCATACGTCTGTTTTGGGAGAAACAAGTTCACCTTTCTGCCCATCCCCCGCCTTGGGGTGGGGTGGGGGGCTGAAAAAGCATCCGATCGCCGGAAGCCCCCTGTCTTCCCACGGAAGTCCCCAGGAATTCCCTCTTCGCAGGAAGTTCCCAGGAATCTTCCCGGAACCCCCCAGTACACCCCTCTCCCCACCGGAAGTCCCCTAGAGATTCTCCCCACTCGCTCTTCCTCCCTGAAGCTTTCCCCACCTCCAAAACCTTACCATGTAGACTACGTTGAGCGCGCACAGCGCATTCTTGGAGCAGGCAAAGCCGCCGCAAACCATATCCCCAGCTTTGGGGACCCAAGTGGTCCCAAGGACTTGGGGGGAGGGTCTTGGGGACCGTCTTCTTAGACCCCGGCAGCTTCTGTCTCTTTAAATCGAGTCCAGCCAAACTCAGTCCTCTGCGCCTGCACCGCCCCACCCCTGCCTCAGGATTGGCGAAACTCACGGCTAATCCAGTACGTCGATGGTCTGAATGCCAATCAACCTGCATTGCGTCACCTACCCTCCTGCCGGCCCCGCCCCTAGGTTCTTTATTGGATAAAACTTAAATCGGAGCAGGGTTTCCAGAGATTCTCATAGGAACTAGAGCCTAAACTTCGAAACCCGGATTGAAAGCGGAGCTCTCCGAGGTCACAGCTGGAAGAAGTCTGGAAGAGGCGCTGGAGAAACTCCTGCAGGGGGAAAGAAGGCGCGCCTTTGAGGACGGGGGAGGGGGTCTCTCCTCAAGGGAACGCCCTTTTCCTCCCCTTGCCCCAGTGACCTCATGATGACGCCATTGTTATTGCGTTATTTTGGGGAACACCTAGAGGAGCAAAGTATTGAGCTGTTCAGCCCGGCCACAGAGACACCCAGCGAATCCGCTCGTTTATAAATGTGCTCACTAGCACACTCCTGTACATATCCCCTCCTAATGGGGTGTGAATATACCAGAAATTCCGTGTGAAAACCAGCGGCCTTCAACCAGCGCGTTATTGTATGTGGTAAAGCAACAAGTTGCAGACGTGGCTGTTCTCAGCCTTTTCAGAGCACATGCCTGACTCAGGATTTGCAAAACATGACAGAGGGGTCTGGAATATGAATAAATATGAGGGCAAGGAGGAGTCTCCACATTTTCACTCTGAGAGTGGGCATAGTGGTTGATAGATGTATGTAATATCAATAAACATTGAATAGGCGCTTTGACACACACCTTTTTATGGGGATGGGGAAAGGCATAATCCATCTTTCCTCCAAGAGAAAGCAGTCTTAGTAGGAACACAAATTTAAAAACCTCCTTTCAAGCCCACAGAATGATTTAAATTTGTGTGTACTTAAATTATATGGTTGCATAAACAGTACAGTCTTACTGCCAGAGTCAGGCTGCATGGGTTCCGACTTTGCAACTTACCAACTGTGTAACCTTTGGCCAGTTATTTATAAACTTTCTGTGCCTGTTACCTCATCTGTAAAATGGTGATAGATAACAATACACCTACTCCTTGGGCTGTTATGAGAATTGAAAGAGTTACTATATGTAGAATGCTTGGGACACTACCTGGCACATAGGAAAGTGGTACTATCATCAGCTGTTTTACAGGCTTCAGTGGGTAATCCCAACCCCAACTCCCTTATCTTCAGATGTACATATATTCCCACAGTTATAGTCCTTTGTCCTTCACATTGATATCAAGATGTGCAGGATGAGAGACATTAGATGGGACCACAAAGATTTGAGTCCTGAAACAAAATGATTAAATTATCCACCACTTTCCCCTCATCCTCTGCACCTTCATTCTGTCCTTCAACTCCTCCCAAACCCTATTCTCTTTCAGGTCTTAAATCAAGACCATGCTAACAGGGATAAGGGGAACTGGTTGGCAAGCATATTGGTTGGGTGGCATAGTCAGAATTGTCATCAGAAGACCTAGATCTGTATCTTTGTTTCACCTCTTACTGGCCTCTCTGAGCTTCAGTTTCCTTTTCTGCAGAAGAGGAATAACAATCCTACCCCTCAAGCCTGTGGTGATACTATATATGAAAGTGTGCTGTAAACTATTAAGTGTTATAGACAAGTTAATTATTATGAAAGTAACTGAAAGTGGAGGACGGTGGTTTTGTCTGCTTATAGGTTACTGTCCTCTTCCATAACCTGTTCTCCCTGACTAGTTACCCTTTTAGCAGGAGGTGGTTGCAGTGGGGTTGCCAGTGTAGGAAGGGTTACATGGCAAGATGTAAGTGAAAGGGTATCTCGCCGCGACCCTACTTACCCAGAATGACTCAGGAGACACAGGCCCATGCAAGAGACTTTATTATCTGAAGGAGAGAGTGGCTGCCCCAGAGAGGGGTGGGGGGAGAGAGAGAGAGAGAGAGAGAGGGAGGGAGGGAGGGAGGGAGGGCGGGCGGGCAGCTGCGTGGTGCCTTTTATTGTGGCGGATCAGCTGGGCCTGTTGCCTTGGGGGAGGCTCGGGATGTTTAGAGATAAGGCGGGGTAAGCCCAGGCAAGTCCCAGGTGTAATTCTCACCAGCTTATGTGCTTGGGACCATGGGGCAAATGGAGGATAAATTACTATTTTCTTACATTTCTCCCTTTTCTGTTTTATAAGTAGTAGAGGATTTGGGAAGGAGTGAAGGTTAGTCTTCAGTAACTGCTTCCTGCTGATTAGGGGCGATGAAGTTCATTTTTGTATTGATGGGGGGGCGGTCCTCAGATGAGCCCTTGGTCTGCAGTGGCGATGCGTGTTCCAGGTTCAATAAGGATCATCGTCTTTGGAGAGGGGTTGGTAATCCTGTAATATAAGCTGGTTTAAGGTTTGGTTAGAAATTTTTTGCATTTGGGCTGATTGCTATGTTTACATAGGGTGGCTGAATTAATCGCATTTTTGGGGACATATGTGTAGGCAGCAAAGCAACCTGTAGGGCAAAGGAAATCCTTGATGGTGCAATCTTTTGGACAGTCTGAAAGAGAAGAAAGGGTTGACATTGGGAAGATAGGTCTGGTGAGAGAGTAAATGTTGAGACTAGGGTTAATAACCCTGAAGCATGACGCATGGCGGTTGTAAGGGAGGTTTTAGGACTCTGTGCTGGCAGAAACTTCTTCAGTGATAAGTAGAAGTGGAGATGAGCAGCGCGAAATGCGGAGAGTAAGAGGTCCTGTCAGGGTGGAGTAGGAACATGTGGGAGATTTGGTGGGAGGGGAATAAGATGAGACAAATGGCTTAAGGTGGGAATTGTGTATCTAGTGGGGAAGACCCTGGAGTTTAACTGCAGTTGACGTGGAAAGGATTACTGTGTATGGTCCTTGCCATTTGGGAGTTAGGGATGGTGTCTTTGTTCTTTGGAACAGGCATGGTTTGGAGTTTTTTCCTGTCTATGGTAATGGCCTTGTAGCGTGGGGAGAGCTGAACTCCCAGGTATGTGACCTGAGCGGCAGACAGCTGAACTTTGGAGGGTGAAACTTGATAGCTGTGTTCTGAGAGAAAGTTTAAAAGGAGAATAGTATCTTGTTGTGAGGTTTGTAGGGAGGGACTGCACAGGAGAAAATCATCTACATATTGAAGGAGGGTGGAGCTCGAGAGAGTAAGGGATTTGAGGTCTTGTGCTAGAGCCTGTCCAAAAAGGTGGGGACTATCCCTAAAGCCTTGGGGAAGGAATTGTTAAGTGGTCTCTGAATATTAAAAATTAACATAAGGAATTTCCTGCCTTGATTTTTCTCTGGGATACCAGCGTCTTGGTCTGGGAGTATATCAAAAGGCTGCCTGCCCAGCTCCCAAGGTGGGCTGAGGTATTGTCTATTTGCTAAAGAATCCTGCCTTTTACTATGCCATCTACAGCTGTGTCTGCATGCTAAGTTAATTGCTCAGTTTGCAAAATTACCTCCTCAGATCTGAAGGAGGAAAGACAGCACATAGGCCTGGGCCTTTTAGTATGCTAAAGTAAATCTTATGCATGATTACAAATGATTAGCAAAATAAAACATGTGCTACTCTTTTTCTGGGGAACATTAACTGATCTCACTGAAGAATGATTCTAGAGCTTAATGTTCAACATAGTTTTAGTAGGGGGGGTTTCCTAGCACGTAGTTTTACCTTGCTCTGACTGCAAATATCCTGCCTTGCTTTCTCCAGAGGCTCTCACCTTATTCTGTCTAAGCCTATGATCCCCTCTACAGATAGAGACTCTAGCTGCTGCTAGGGAAAAGGGGCTACGACCGCTCTGGCTGCTTCATGCTGAGAGGGGGCACAGTAAAGGGTGCAGCTAGGTCTCCATCACTGGTCAGTTGAGAGGGCTTCGGAACGTTGGCACTTCTGTTCCGGGTTTCATTTCTATTATTATTTGCAGTTTTGTGGCTTTTAGGCAAGATAGAACAAATTGTTATCAGGTTAAGTAGCAACATCTGGAGTTGGATTTTCCATCTGGAAGGACAAACTTGACGAGATTAAGAATGCATGGCTGAATATGAGAACTAGAAATATGAAGAGTCTAATTGAGAATCATAGCCAGGTATCATGGGGAAACTAGAATGTTGGATCGAGTTTACATCTCAATGACTAGTATTAGTATTAAGTATAGATAAGACAGCATTATTGAAACAATACTTTTCTCTAAAATCACTCTCATTTTTATTAGAAGTATCCAGATTAAGAAAATAATTAACAGTTGGCTTGATTATTTGCATAAGTGCAGCAAGAAGAGTAATTGATTACATGGGATCTTTTAATTGTGCTTTGCTGGAACTTTTTGCAAGGAATTTCAGATTGAACTTTTAAGGGCTTCTTGAGGCCAGAAAGCCAAGCCAGACTTGCCATCAGCTTGTACCTGCAGTACCTGTAGATTTGGGTGAATTCCTCTCTTCCTGAGGTTTCTGCACCTACCAGGAAGTGACCTTCCTTACTCACCTGGTAAGGCTGCTGGGAACTCTGTAAGCAAGGTACCAGGCCAGTTCTTATAAGGGGCTTTGTTGGCTTTATAAAGTCAATCTTAGTTCCTTAAAGCTGTCTGCTCATATCTGAGCTTACACACGTGTCTCTCAGGTATGACATTCCAGTCAAAGCCTTGGTAATATAACCAGTGTTTTTAATTAGTCCTCTTACAAGGAAAGCAGATTCTTATTGAACTTATGCAAATAAACATACTGCCATGAAACATAAAAATAGTCACTGATAGTTTTTAAATTCTGGAGGGATCAGGTAGAGAGAAAGATAAAGTTTCAATTCTGCTTACAAAGACAGTCATTTACTAAACTGTTGTCAGCTTTAGAGAAAAAGCTTAAAACACTTTATCAACAACATTTGAAACAAAAAGCCACCAAATCATATTCCTTAGTTTACTTAATCCTATGTAACTAATACCTGTTCTGCTGAAATCTAGTTTTTTACTAGTTTAGGAGTAATAAAACAGTGAGTATAGATGACAGAAAACTTACAAATGACAATGGTTAAAGATCTGATGAGAGCTTACTGTAAGACAGTTGTCATAGGGAAATTTGGATATTTTTGTAACACAAAACATTCAGTAACAAAGTTTAGCATCATTCCCTGTGACAGTGCCTTCTAGGTAATTAAGCAGGTAAATAAGCCAAATTAGCCAAATATTTTCCTCAATGAGAAAAAATTCCTCTGACATGTTCCAGGGGCCCTCTGGAAAATATCAGAGTGAACTAGAGGTAAAAAGTACCTTTTTGAATTTGATATTGGGGAACTGTTAAAAGTTTTAAGGCACTTGCTTAAATAGTTACTTACATTAGACAAAGCTACACTTCACTTTAAGCATTTTTTCTTTGAAAGATTTAACAGATACCATCAACTTAAATGACTAGGAAAACTTAGGCAGCTGATAACCATAAGGACATGTCTATTCAGTTCAACTTAAATTAGCATTAGTGCTTAATATCTTCTATTAGAATTTTCTGGAAATTTTAGAATGCCCAATTTTTACAAGCACTTGTCTTTAAATCAATCTTTATTAATACCATCTGGAGGTAGAAAAATATTTTTCATTTACACACTTAGACACAAACATACAGATTGAGACAATGATACAGTGAGAGGACAGACAGAGCTCCTGGCATGAGCCAGGAGGGGACAAGAAAGCCCGTGGTGGTGCATTGTCTAGGAGTTTTATAGGCAGTTGAGGATATTTGGGGACGTGAAAAAATCTTAGGGCTGTGGACTTTAAGGCAAGTAGTAGGTGTTTAGGATTGCAGGGGAGACAGAGAGAGAGCTTGGTTCGGAGGTAGGAGAAAGCCTGGATATATGGGATCTCTTTCCATTTGCCCGTACGCTCACAGAAGTTGTATAAGTTGTAGAGAATTTTAGGATTTAAACAGCCATTGGGGGCCATTTAGACTGATTGTCCAAGGGATATTGTGGCCAGATCTCATTACAGTAGCGAACAGGTTTGAGGTCTGGAGTGAGGTGGAGGGGCTTTAGATTATTAAGTAAGCACCCTAGCGGTGAATCTGCGGGAACGGAGGGGCCAGATCCCATGGTGAGAACGAGACCGTTCAGAAGTCGCTGAGGCGTCCCTGAACAATTGAGTAGGTCGTGGAGAAGACCAGGCACAGTTAGGGGGTCGTCACCACCTCTAACTGTGGGGTTGAGGCGAAAATGTCGGGGAGGCTTGGTACCTGGTACCAGAAGTTTTCAAGTCGAGTAGATACGTAGATAAAGGGAGACTGGGCCTCAGTGGATGAGGATTCTCACCATGGGGAGGCAGAGAAGGGCCGACTATAGGGATCAACCGTGACTCTGAAAGTTGTGGTTGGGGTTACCCCTGTCCCAGAGGAGTCCTTGGGGGTGCCGGACACTCAATAGTCACTTCCCAGGTTCCAAAGGGACATTTAAGTCGACCATGAAGGGGAGACTCACCAAATCGAAGGCCGGTGTTGGGCGAGAAGAAAAGTGACCGGGGAAGTGGACAGTGAGCCCGTGAAGGAGGATCGGGCAGTGAGGGTTCCCAGAGCAGCTCAGGTTCCCTGAGGAAGAGCAAAGTCAATGAGAGAGCCTCATCCGAAGTCACGGCACCAATGAAAGGATATCTCGCCGCGACCCTCCTTACCCAGAATGCAGCGTGGTGCCTTTTATTGTGGCGGATCAGCTGGGCCTGTTGCCTTGGGGGAGGGTCGGGATGTTTAGAGATAAGGCGGGGTAAACCCAGGCAAGTCCCAGGTGTAATTCTCACCGGCTTATGTGCTTGGGACCATGGGACAAATGGAGGATAAATTACTATTTTCTTACAGTAAGTATGTAAATCATTTGGATGTGTAGTGTGTGGTCAGTACAAATGCAAACTGAAATAATGCAGGTCTATAAGGGTGACAGACAAAGTGTGTGTGGAGTCCTGTGAGAGTCTGAGACTGAACACCAAACTGTAGGTCAAGAGTTTGGGACTGCACCTGGGACTGGCTTAACATATTCTCCCAGCACCAACACCCATCTTAATTAGGCACCTCCCACAGGAGGCCCTAGGATGCTTGGTAAGGTCTCTCCCTTCACCTGGCTGGGGAATCATAGCAGGGGCTGGCCGGCAGAGCTGATGGGCCAACGCTAGAGGGGGTGGAAGGTGCAGAAGGTAGTGCTGTCCCGAGCTGTGGGTTTGAAACTCACCAGTCAGGAAGTGAGGCCAACAGACGGAAGGGCGGGCAGGGGCGGGCAGGGACGGGGAGTCCTGGGGCACAGCAGAAGGGGCCTTCTTGTGTTTGGGCACCGTGCGGCCATGGGCTTTGAGGCCAGAAGTTGCTGTTAGCCTGGTGAGACTAGTCTGGGCAAAATGCATGCCCAGAGGCAGTTGGCTATAGCTGCAGTGAGAGCAGAAGTCAGAAGACATGAAGTGGCCAAGCAGGCTCTAAACCGCCTCAGGAAGCTGGCAGAGAGGGTGGGTGACCCTGAACTTCGGGACAGTATCCAGGCCTCACTGGACAGTGTACGAGGTAAGAGAGAGGTTAGCTCTGAACCAGCAGGGTATGGAAGGGCTTGCCGTGTCATACATCTCTTCCCAACCAGCCACTTCTTAGTACCCAAGATGGAGCTGGGACTCGAGGGAAGAAAACATTGGGAAAGGATGGAAAAACACATGAGAGGTGTTATTCTTCCTCTTCCTCCAACTTTGGTCCTTATCCCAGGGGATCAAAATACAGCTCAGTGCTGAAATGACCTTGTCAATGGAGAAGAGGGTGAGCATGGCTAGAAGAGGCTGTGACAGGCCCATGGTGGACTTGGATCCTGCCTGGGGAGTCTGGGTGGGGAAGCAGTCTAGGGCAGGAGATTCTGGGACTGGATAATGTGTTCGTTCCCAGGCCCCACGACGGATCAGTGACCTCTTGTTCTCCAGCTGTAGAGAAACACACACACACACACACACACACACACACACACACACACACACACTGAAATATACCACACAGAGAATCTCAGGCTCCTAGCACACACTAACACGCGTACTGCATGCTCTGCACAGCTGAAGTGCAGAGAAGTCTCCAGGACTCTTCTTGGTGCCCTCTCCTCCCCATGCTCTTGTTCCTGTCTCTTCTGTACGCACCCCCCCCCCACACACACACCTTCCGCTCTACCTCCTTGGTGCCATTAGAGCAAGCTATGACAACACAGGGAGGAAATGCTGCCATGGCAACATCATCCGCCACATCCTCCTGCCCACCCCAGCCTTCAATCCTGTGGTGGGGCCTTGCCAGAAACAGCTTCTTTCACTAAGGTACAGGTGGAACTGGTGGAACTGGAGGCCATCTCCCGCCTGCTCTCATCTCATTCACCTCTGAGGCAACAATGAGCTAACAAAAGCTGGCTACTTTGCCCATGAAAGGTGTCTGGGAGAAGCCACCCACCATCATATCCTGGTCTGTTCCAGTCTTTCCCTTCTTAGCTGCCTATCTGGGGGAGGTGGTGGGGTGGTACAGAAGGCTGTCAAGATGCAGTTCTTTCCAACAGGCATGCTTCCTGCCAGGCCTCTCTGCTGGTACAGGCCACCAGGCATAACTTGGGAAGGGGTTCCTAAGGGAACAGTCTGACTGACCCTTTGCCTTTCTTAGGCTAGTGCCCCTCTCACCTCCTGTCCCTTACCCTTTGTCAAAAACGACAACTGACACCTTTCCTACATATGACCTTGGTGGTTGGAAAGGCAGACCTAGGAGAAGTGGCCCATTAGGGCCTATGAGGGAAGAACTCCAAGCCCCACCTCTGTAGAAAAAGAAGGGAGGGAAAAGATTTAGGCCAGGTAGAGTAGCAAGTTCTGCTCGCTCTGGAGAAGGAGGGAGTAAGGAGAGGTGCAGGCCAAAATCTCTGAGAAGACTTCATTCTCATGCATAAGTGATTTTTCCTCTGCCTCTGTAAGAGTCAGGATCCTGTTCGCTCTTAACATAAAGGAAAACTGAGGCCATCAAAGGAAGGAAGGAAAATTAAGCCAGAATCAACAAAGCCCTTTTGCCCCTTTTCAGAAAAGGCTCCTGAAGAGCGAAGGGTCTCCTATCCTGGGGATGGTGTCATCCTGATGCTGCAGGGAGGCGGAGGGCTGTGTGTTCAGAAGCTGCTGACCTAGGGACAGGACCTCTGAGGGACTGCGTACAGGTCTCAGGGAGAACAAAGGGCATCCAGCATCCTGGTTCCACCCCCCACCCTCACCCCCTACCAGGCCGAGCATGCTGCTGGCTCCTGCCTCGAAGAGCCGCCCACGACAGCACTTATTATAGTCTCCGATGCGTCAGGAGGGTGGGACGCCAAATTAGGGGAAGGTTGAGACTCCCTGAATCCCAGGAAGAGGTCTCCAAGGCTGCAGAGAGGCCTGCCCCCACTTCCACTGCCCCCCTGCTAGGTCTCAGCCTCTTCCCCACTGTCCTAGCCCTTCAACCCCCCACCCCTCCCCGTAGTGAGCCTTGAACTCCAGGGTCCCTAGAGGGGTGGAGGACACAAAGCAGACATTTTCCATCCTGTCTCCTCTTTAACCTTCCAAAAGAGCCCTGCCTACCCTGAAAAACTTCAGGAGACTGAATGGGAACCCAAAAGAGGTCAACCCCTTCTGCCTCAACTGAGGGGATCTTTATTCAGGGGTGCTAAATTCCCCTACAAGTGGATATCCAGGTGTGAGGGTGGGGCCTTCATTAACCCCATATCCCCCAGTGGGTCCCCCCACCCACCATGCACAGCGATCCTCCTCTCTGATTATCCCTGCTGGTGTTTAAGGCACTCTTGGAGCTATGGTTGCTATGGAGACTGGATGCATTTTGATATGGGGGGGTGTCAGTCTGTAGACTTTTTCCTTATGCTTCCACCTTGAACTGCAGCTTTTGACTCACTTTTCAGCCTGGGCTCCTCCAGCCCCAAGATCTCTTTCCTCCTGAGTTGCTCCCCTCCTCCCAACCCTGCTAAGTTCCATGTTTGTCCCCATCCCCAGGGAACACTTTTCAAGTTCACTTTGGGACACGGGCTCAAGGCGTGGCCCCATCAGTGTATGGCGTGGTGGGGGCGGATGGGCGAGGGGGCTGGGTCATGCGGAAAGGAACATGTGCAAGTACCTCGAGGAGACAAGGGGTCCTGGGAAATGGATTTCAGGGCTCCCCACTTTTCCACTTCAGCTTCCCCAGAATTGGCAATGACCCCGAATTTGCTCCGTTTTCGCTGCGACTGTCCACCCATAGAATGATTTTTATCCTTGTCCTTAGATGTCTCTCCTAACAGTCGTGCTCCCTAACGGTGCTGTGCTAGGGGAGGGGGCTAAATTGCTGGAGTAGGTGAGTCCAAGTTCCAGGAAATCCAGACCAGGATTTGGTAGGGCAATCCAGTCCAGGATTTTGCACCGCCTTCGCAGACAGCAGAGCTGGTGAAGAGAAGGTGGGGGAGAGATAGGATGGAGGGGCGAGGGGCCGCCTCCTCCTCAATGTGAGGGGAGCGCCCGGACACAGCGCGCATCCGGACCCAGCCGAGCCCTGGCGAGCCCCCGGACCCTTCGTCGGGATCTCACGCCCCTTACCTCTCAGACCCCATACCCGTGGGTTCCAACCCATTCCGGCTTCCCTCCTTCCTCCCCCACCGGTGCCTGTATCTCCATCCCCAGCATCCTCCCCGCGCCCCTGCGAATCCCCCGCACGACGAGCCCCATTAGCTTCTCACCCTCCTGAAGACCCCCTCTCCGATCCCATCTGCCGCCCCTGTCTTTTGAGTCCCCATTTCCTGCCCCTGCCTCCCCCGCACCGGTTCCTCTTCTCCCCCAGCCTAGGGTCCCTCTTTTCTGTCCCTTTTCCTCCCTCTCCCCTATTTGCCCCCACTACTGTTCTCCCCGCTCCCCCCCGCCCATCTCAGCGCCCCCACCCAGGCCGGAGTGCACGGTCCGGCGCGCCTCCTTGGAGCAGCACCAAGGTCCCGGGGCTCCAACGGGGTGGGGGCGCAGGGCGGGGAGCATGGGGAGGGGGCGCCCCGTGTGATGGGAGGGGGGCGCAAGCGGAGGCGGCGGAGGCGGCGGCGACAGCGGAGCCGGGCTGGGGGCTCAGCGGGGTCCGGGGGCTGGGGGCAGCGAGCAGGGCGGCACCATGGCTGGGCCCCCCTGAGGCAGTTCGGGGGAGCCCCCTCCCCTCCCCAGCTCGGGGGTCTCGGGGCCCCATGAGCCGGGGCGCGGGCGCGCTTCAGCGCCGGACAACGACCTACCTCATCTCGCTGACCCTGGTGAAGCTCGAGTCGGTGCCTCCGCCGCCGCCGTCTCCGTCCGCGGCCGCAGCCGGCGCTCCCGGCACCAGAGGCGCCGAGACCGGGGATCCTGGCAGCCCGCGAGGCGCGGAGGAGCCGGGCAAGAAGCGGCACGAGCGTCTCTTCCACCGGCAGGATGCACTGTGGATCAGCACCAGCAGCGCGGGGGCCGGGGGCGTCGAGACCCCCGCCCTGTCCCCAGCTCCGGCCAGTCCGGCCCGCCCGGTCTCCCCCGCTCCCGGCCGCCGCCTCTCCCTCTGGGCCGCCCCTCCGGGGCCCATGCTCTCCGGGGGGCTGAGCCCCGACCCCAGGCCCGGAGGTGCCCCCACCTGCTCCCGGCGCCCCCTGCTCAGTAGCCCGAGCTGGGGGGGTCCGGAACCCGAAGCCCGGGCGGGCGGCGGCGTCCCCGGCTCGTCCTCCCCGCACCCTGGCACCGGCAGCCGGAGGCTGAAGGTGGCGCCTCCTCCGCCGGCTCCCAAGCCGTGCAAGACCGTGACCACGAGCGGCGCCAAAGCCGGCGGGGGCAAGGGCGCGGGTAGTCGCCTGTCATGGCCTGAAAGTGAGGGCAAGCCCAGGGTCAAGGGGTCAAAGAGCAGTGCCGGTACTGGAGCCTCTGCCGCCGCTGCAGCCGCTGCCGGGGCAGGTGGAGCTGCAACCATGACCTCTGGTGGGGCCGGAGCTGGGCCCGGAGCCCGAGGGAAGCTGTCCCCTCGGAAAAGCAAGAGTAAGACCTTGGACAACAGTGACTTGCACCCAGGACAGCCTGCTGGCTCTCCTCCTCCGCTAACGGTTCCAGTAACCCCGTCTTCAGCCGCTGCTGTCACTGCCGCCCCCGCGCAGCCCACTGGGCCTGCACCTCCAATCACTCTGGAGCCTCCAGCTCCGGGGCTGAAACGGGGCCGGGAGGGGGGCCGAGCATCCACTCGAGATCGCAAGATGCTCAAGTTTATCAGCGGCATCTTCACCAAGAGCACAGGGGGGCCTCCTGGCTCTGGTCCTCCTCCTGGACCCCAGGGCCTGTCTTCTGGCAGCGGGTCCCGGGAGCTGCTGGGCGCAGAGCTCCGGGCCTCCCCTAGTGAGTAGGACCAGGGCCTGAGAACAGGGAGGGGCAGGGGCCTAGAATGCTCAGCTTGGGATAGGGGAGCATGTGCAGGACTGAACTTGGGAAGCTTCTCTCTTGGGTGGGCTATTGAACCAGGCTCACTCCTCTGCTGTAGACTAGGGCAAAGAATAAGAGGTACTGAGGGGAATGAGTAGCTATGCTGTGCGATGAGAGATGACTTGATGTCAGAGGAACTCAGAGAACCTCAGAGCTTTCTGAGAAAATAATGCCCTTGGTCAGAGTGACTGTAGGAAATTGCCCCCAGGGAAGCCCTAGACCCCACCTCCAGTCTCAGCTGGACTCTGGGAGCATGGAAACAGGGCTTTGCCTTGCCCAGAGGGACACTGAAGGTGGGGGGAACGAAGAAGCCTCAGTTTCTCCTGAGCACTTGGGGCAGGTGGCATGAGAGTGACCTTGCAGGCAGCTCCTCGCCAGGAACAGGTCTTCCCCTAGTCCGGAGCAGGCTGGTGAGGCAGCAGGGAGGGACTGTGTGTCTTCCCACGCAGTGAAGGAGGCAGTTCGGGAGTGCGTGGGGGCAGGAACGTGTTCGATACTTGAATGTGAAGTGCGAGAGGGCGGATATGAAGCCTTATTTCCCCCATTGCCCACCCCAGCGCCCAGAGCGAGTGAAATCCCCAGGGGGCCGACCAGGAGTGACTCAGTGGGGGTGGAACTGCTGCAAAGGCAATTCTTACCTCCGGAGACTTGGGAGGGTTATGGAGAAGGTAGTGTTTTTTCCAGGGTTGGGAGGTGGGGGTGTCTTTACTTATTTTTTTAGAAGAGAGAGGCAAGGGACTGTTGGTTCGGCTCACACTCCCCGGAGGGGAGGCGGGTCCCGGAGCGGGGGCGGCCCCCGGGTTTGGCTCTAGAGCGGGTGGGAGCAGATGGCTCCGGATCCCAGAGTTCCCGCCGCAGCTGCGGCGCCCCGGGAACGTCCGGCCAGTGTCAGGAGCGGGGGCCAGTCGGGCGGAGGGAGCATCCTCTCTTCCCGCCCCCTGAGCCCACCCCCGGGCCTGTGGCTACCGTGGTCCAGGGAACGGAGCCCTTCCTCACAGTTTCTTTAGCACGGTGCTTGTGGGGAGGGCATGGAAAAGGGAGGCCTAGGAAAATCCAAGTTCCATTCCTTAGGCTCTGGGGGTGGGTGGGGTCAGGGCCATCATGCCCTTGACCTTGAAAAAGGGGAGGGCTATCCCTCACCTCAGTTTCTGTCCCTTGAAATGGAGACTGAGGAAGATCCACTCCCTTCTATATCCCAGCCCTTCCTCCCATCATCTGCTTGGGAATAGAGCTGGTGGGGAGGAGACCCTCCTGTTCTTCCAGAGGGAAGAGCCTGCCACTGTCAGATCCCTGGTCCCCAGGTCTGGGGCAGAGACCTACGTTTGGGGATATGCTCTAAGGGAGATGCCAACTGAAATATTTTTGTCTTGCTGGCTCTGTTGCTAAGCAACCACGGAGTGCCAGCAACAGCTGTGGGGAAAGCGACTAGGATGGGAGGCCTGAGGACCACTCTCAGACCTAGCCTTTCCTGCACAACTCCCAGTCCTGCCAGGGTTCTGCGGGCTAAGGGAAGCTGCAAAAAGAGGAGGGGTGGCTGAGAGCTGGGAATCCTCCTCAGCGGGGAGCATGCTGTTTTACACTCCTTTCCCATTACAGAGGCTGTGGTCAATAGCCAGGAATGGACTTTGAGCCGCTCCATTCCTGAACTGCGCCTGGTAGGTAATCCAGTCTCCTTGCCTGTACAAAGCTGACCTTCCACGACCACACTTTCAACTCTCTCCTCTTCACCTCTTCCCTTCTCTGTGTGTGGGTGAGAATGGGGCACAGCTTTCCAGTTCTCCCAAAGTTCTACCTTCATAGCACCTTCCCAGAGCTTGATACATCCTTACAACTTTTTCTTCTCTGGTCTCCTTTTTTCCTGTTTGTCCATGATCTGCTTCCATGATTCTCCTTATTTCTGGCATCTCCCCTTTAGCCCTTCATGTTCTATTGCTTAGAACTGGGTAAAACTTTACAACCAGTGCCTAGAGCTGTGCCATTTCTCACCCCACCCCCAGCATCCAGTATGTTTCCTGAACAACACAGCACACCACAAAAATGACCTTCTTTAGCCTTCTGTCTGTTTCAAGCTTGGGAACATTTCTTACCACACTCATGGCCAGAGCCTCCTGGATGCTCTCTCCTGACCATCATCCAGGCCCTGTAGGACCCTGCTTGGATGATTTAACACTGACACACCCTTTGCATTCTCTGGAGTGTCCAGACCCAAGCATCCTGCCTCCTCTTAATTCCCACAATCTCTGCTCCACAACCTTGCCTTTAGGGTGTACTGGGTGATGCCAGGAGTGGGAAGTCATCGCTTATCCACCGATTCCTGACGGGTTCATACCAGGTGCTGGAGAAGACAGAGAGTGAGTTCTCAGGAGCCATAGTAAGCTAAGGATTGGGGTCAGGGATCCAGGATCAATGACTAGGCAGTATGATCCAGGACAAGGCAGGTATGGAGACCAGAGGGAAGGATGAGGCCACAGTAACTAAAGTTCAGGGAGCAGGGGGAGGTTTGATGACCTGTGACCTCTGACTTACTACCACTTCCAACCCTTCCGGACAGGTGAGCAGCACAAGAAAGAGATGTTGGTGGAGGGACAGACTCATCTGGTGCTGATCCGCGAGGAAGCTGGGGCACCTGATGCCAAGGTGAGGGTGGAGGCGACAGAGTAGGCAGGCCAAGGGAGAGGGCTCTGGTTTCCCAGGTGCCCCTGAGGATAGCGTCCAGAGGAGTGGACTTGTCTGACCCTCTCTTTGCTCCCTGCCCACCCCCCGCAAGTTCTCAGGCTGGGCAGATGCTGTGATCTTGGTCTTCAGCCTGGAGGATGAGAATAGTTTCCAGGCCGTGAGCCGTCTCCATGGGCAGCTGAGCTCCCTCCGGGGGGAGGGACGAGGAGGCCTGGCGCTGGCACTGGTGGGGACACAAGGTAAGGAGGGACTGGAGTATTGCCTTCAAGGGAGTCCCTGGGGTGGCCCTGTGGGACTGCCCAACATAGGTGAGGGCTTGGCAGTTATGGAAATGGCCACCTGGATTCCAGTAGCTCTCTGGAAGGAGCCTGGTCTCCAAAAAAGGGAGTCATAAAATCAATGCGCCCAGGTCTGAGCAGAGGAAAGCGGACTCTCCAGGAAGTAAGTGACAACTATAGTAGCGGTGTCCGTTCCTCTGAGAGGTCACCTACCTTGTGTTCTCACACTGCTATTTCCCAATGCCACCACTATGGGAAAAAAGAAAACCACAGGCCTGAGAGCAATAAAAAAGCCTTTTTCTTCTACACCTTGCTACAGCTGGGTCAGGCTGACACCTTTCAAAGGGACTTTTCTAAAAACAGAGAGAAAACACAATTGAAATGATGAAGAAAACATACAGGACAGAAAACCTTTTAGTTCTCAATAAGTGATTGCTAGGCTTTCAGACTCCACCACCGCCAGGAAAGCTTTTCCAGTGCCCACCTGTGTAGGGCTGGTGGTCTCATTGGCATGCGTATCCTGCTGGTGCCTGCTTCCACTTGTCACTTGCTTCCTGGTTTCTTGTGGCAGAGTAAACAATCCACTTGTTACACATGGACAGTCAGCCTTTTCCCAGTTCCCACCCTGGGTGTTCTCCCACTCAGTTCACTGTTCATTGGACTCATTGGACAGGTGATGGTCCCCTGCAGGTCTGAGCCATTTCAGACCTTGTCAGGAACCTCACCTCCAGAGTATTCTTTGAAGACTCGTGCACACACACACACACACACAGCTTCCTCAGCTTACTCATACTGTAGCTGGGCATATGAGCTGGCTTCTGCACTCCCATCTCTCAGGAGGGACATTCTCTTGTGTCCTGTCCCCAGTGTGCTGGGCCTGGGACTGGAGCCCAAGGAAAAGGAACCCAGGAAAGGTGGGGGAGGGGGGCCCTCAGCTGATCCTGCCCTTTCCCACCCCCTCAGACAGGATCAGTGCTTCCTCTCCCC